TCTTATTCGTATATTATTTGTCTCTTGTATATATATATATATATATATGCGTGCGTGCGTTTAAGTGCTCGTGCGTGCGTGTAGATGTCTGTGTGTGTTTAAATGCGTCATCATTTCATGCGTAGGAGATCGTCAAGCGACCGAAGCGAATGTCGGTGGACATTGACAGCCGTAAACAGAGTCTGTTCACGGACCGGATCGTGTTCCGTCACTACACGACAGCAGTTGACACCGACAACATCAAGCGCGTCTTCAAAGACTGCCACACGAGCATCATCAACAAACATCTGTCGGCCGTCGCGCCTCAGATCTAAGGACGGAGACGCGTGGAGGGCGGCAGACTAAGATCTAGGATCAGACGAATCCAGGATTAACTCGCCCCCGAAAGTCACAACTAACCCATCTGTCTGAATAACCAGCTCGAATATCATTGTAGGTTGATCATGCAGACATGCTAGCAACCTCTCGCTCGTGTTTTCCTCGCGTCCATGCCAAAACAACAACTTTGCGCCACTTCGTTGCCAAGCCATTGTTTTTAGGACGCCGTATCGGATTGCTGATTGGCTAAATCGCCTGTCAATCATGTAAATCTGTTCGGTCTGTCGTACTAGGCTGATAAGATAGGTGAACGTTTTCAACGATTTGATGAATGATAGGCCAGTAGGATAACCAAAACTGACGGCTACTCGAATGGAAAAAGTACTAGCTAGCATAGACAGAACGCTTAACTTAGCTGAAAATCAATGAGAGCTACAATGTTGCTTTGTAACCGTCTAATCGTATACGCTCTCTGTGTGTGTAGCCTGTGTAATTCGTCTGCAGTGACTACGTCATCAGGTTAGACAGCACAAGTAGGCTCAAGAGGGAACGATCAGTAACGACGAGTGTTAAAATCTCTAAAGTCGTGTCTTTAGTTCCCATTGATAGCGCGCGGTCATGTTATAGTGCCATCATCGAATGCCAAAATCACGTCAAGGTAGCATCATGGCATTGTAACATTCTGTCACGGTGGTGTGATGTAACAGTAAAATCATGTAACGCTAATATCATGTAATAGTAATATCACGGCATGTTATCATCACGTAGCAGTAACGTTATTTCCTGGCAGCATCACGTAATGCTAGGGGCACACGAGCGTATTTTATCGCCCGATCGCGGCGATTAAAATCGCCAGCGAATTTAATCGCCCGACGATTATTTACTGGCAAATTCGCTCGTGTGCCCGTGTCCGGCGTATTTTGTCGCCCGATCGATTTTTCTAAACCAATCGGACGTGTTGTTGATATCATGTGATGTTAAAATCGGGCGATTAAATTCGCTACGTGTGCCCCTTCGTGACCGGCGTAAATAATCGCCCGAAAATATCTAACATTTTGGATACGGGCGATTCGTACGGGCGATTGAAATCGGCGTCGACGTGAACGGCGACACGGGCGAATTTTTCGAGCGATTTTAAAATTCGCGGCGATCGGGCGATAAAAATCGCTCGTGTTCCCCTACCTTAACCAGGCTAACCCTGCTCTTGCTGGCGAGCAAAAGTTCAAAAGTGATTGGAACTCAATAAGTGGAAATAAAAGGATGACGGTCAACAAATTACATTTATCTATTGTTTGGATGGGAATTTGAATGAATGTGCTAAAGAAATCGCGATCTTATATTTCTTACTGCTTTAGAATCCTAATAATATTATGGATATACGATGTGTGCGTGTACGTACATGCGTGCGTGTGCGGGTGTGTGCGTGTATGTGTGTGTGGTGTGTGTGCATGTGCGTGAGTGCGCGCTGTGTGTGAGTGTACGCGTGCGTGTATGTGTGTGTGGTGTGTGTGTGCGTGTGTAAAATAAGGTCTTTTATAACAGTACACCATGCAGTTATAGACGTCACAACACTACGTGGATTATACGTGATTGCGGATTATGGCGGCGATTGGTGTCATGCGTGTAGAGTCACTGACGCGGTGACGGAGCCGAGCTGACCACAGATACGATATACATGCTTCTTCTAATTCTGTGTCAGTAGTTCACGACGCGGCAGAGAAAAGTACTGCAAATGTCGCTACGATCATAACGACTTGGAGACGTCACTGAAGTAATAAGAATTCTATTCATTCGCTGTGGTACCAGATAACAGCCGGCCAATTATGCGAGCACGAAATGAGGAGAACGTGGAGAAATTTGCATAGGCACAACAATGGTAGAAATAGAAACATTCGAGCAAGATTAGTCGCTTTTCTGAGCGGCTGTATATACATGTTCTTACTTGGCATGAAATAATATAGGGGCCTAAGTAGTATTTACATGTCATGTGCTGTGAAGCGACATCGCGTGTGTCGACGTAGCGATACAGCTCTTGGATGAAATGGAACTAAGCATGATCCTGCATGCGACGATACATAAGTTTTCGATTCTGAGTGTGTCTCGCACTATTCCCAGCGATCACCTACAGCAACCACGCTCCTGGCACTCACGCTTTCACGCGCCTATCACGCTATTACTTTGTTTATATATCATGTTTTATGTACTGTTATTGTGTACACGTTTATTACGCTGATAGAGAGGGGGTGAGAAAGAGAAAGGGCAGTGAAATGAGCTAAAAAAAACACCAAAATACAAACAAGCTAATAACAAATCCTTTAATTCCTATACCAAATATGTCACCGTATTTGTAATACGGATTTTTCTGAAATTAGTGGCACACTCTAGATGCGCTAATATGTACATGGTGAAAGCATACTGAAAAACTGCTATGGGGAAACAGTTTACCCCGATTTATGGGTGTCACTACAATTTATACTCGCAGGTGCGTGCATGCGAATAGTACATAATGCGGATGTCATACGCAGCGTACACGAAGGTCTCAGTGGCGTGTTTTAGAGATTTATACAGACGCTATTAGTTCACACGAATGGAACCAGTTGAAGCATATCTGATTTTTTTTGTGGCTGGATTTCCTCTGCCCAACGACCGCAAAACGGTTATAATTATAATTATATATAACAGGGTTAATTTTTACTCAACCGTAAAGATTGGAAACGTACCGCTTACGTTTCGCCTCCTGACAGGAGGCTTTCTCAAAGCTGATAATCAGTTTTGACCACCAGATGGGGTGGTGGTCAATAGCTTAGTCCACTGTAGCTTAGTGAACTAAGCTATTGACCACCACACCATCTGGGTGCGTCAAAACTGCATCTATCATCAGTTAGGCTTGTGAGGAAAGCCTCCTGGCAGGGAGGCGAAAACTTAAAGGCGGTCACGTTTCCAATCTCACGGTTGAGTAAGAATTAACCCTGTTATATATATATTAGTCTACCAACCGAATGAACTTATTTAATGGGTTATAATTATGCATTTGTTGATTTACATACACGCCATATTTAGGGGTAACGTGTATTATACCACTCTGCACTGCCCTCTCATTTGCTGCTCCATGGTTCGATGCAATAATTCTACGACTTATGACCATTGTCCGGCGGCCCCTAGTTCAGGTAGGTGAATGGCTACATTTACAGGTCATTCCGGGTTTGATTTCAATAATGATTTCTATTTTATGAAAGAGAGAAAGGAGGGTATTGTAATTACGATGATGAATTAGGGAAATGAGAATGAGCAAGGGGCAGAGATTATTATATATCTCTATTGCTTCTCCTCGTCCTGCGCATACGCTCATTACCTCCGCCAAGGGTGTTGGCAGGAGGTATATGTTTTCGGCACCGGCCAAGGTGTTGTTTGACTGGGTTTGTTTGTTGGGTTTGTGGGTTTTGTTTGTGTACAGCTAAACTGAAAAAGTTAGGACGTGTCATAAAATTTTCAAGAATAGGGTCAGAAAATCGCGCTAACTTAGAATGGATGAGATTTCGTCCGGTGTATAGCGATCAATTAATTAAATAATTTTCAGGATAGGTCTGAAATGGGCGGCTAATTCTAGAATAATGTATTACATTTTGGTTGGTTGATGCCGGATCAATTAATTTATTTAATTAATTAACTTAATTACATTAAATTAATTAATTAAGATTTTCACTTAATTAATTAATTAATCTAAATTTCTTTTACAAGCTGAGCAATTCAGCTGCCTTGGCGGAGGTCTGTGCTCTCCGAGTGCTCTAGTTATGTCATGTTTTCCTCCTCCCCTCCGCCTTCTCTTCCTCCGTTTGTTCCTGCTCTTCCTGCTTCTTCTGTTCCTCCTCCTTCCCATGTTACTACTAACTAGACGCCACGTCAGCTTTCCCGTGCTCTTCTCTATCCCTTCCTCTTTCTTTCTAACTATCTCGCTCTCTGCAAAACAAGCTTTCATGTATTGTTCTACAAATATTCACATTGCGCCACCCATTAGTCCACGATATTAAAGTTAATTCCCTCTCATATTTTGGTCGACTACGCGTAACTAGATTTACATAGGTATACAGTCATTTCAAGAATCAATCAACATAGTCGTGTTGGTATTTTGCACGCATATAATTTAAATTTAATGTTTAGTCAATGTAATCAGTGTATTATAACACATCGCACCGGTCTCTCAAATTAATGACACGATAAATTAAACCCTACACCAGCGTATGAGCTAAGCATACGGTACCGGCCACTATAGTAGAACATAATATTATGTGTTTATGATGAATCGTGATTTGATAAAGATGAGCAATAGCTGAAGAATTCCGGATCAAAGTTAAGATAAGGTCTTTTTTGATTCGTCATACACAAATGTTTGTAGATGATCGCGGTGCACACTATTGATGTCGATAAAGATTTCCTCTAGCAATCACATGCACATGCACTTGGAACGTCTCAATAAAAAAAGGCAAATAAACACGAAATGTATTTACTACCAAAGTCTTAATGTTTCTCTACTCTCCTTCGCCTATTATTGCCGATAACTTGCTGTAAATGCCGTTCAAATGCTCCTCTACAATACACAAGTATACCGCACGCACGCCCGGTGCACAAACAACAAGAATAACTCTATTATCTTTTATTAGGCGAAGGAGAGTAGAGAAACATTAAGACTTTGGTAGTAAATACATTTCGTGTTTATTTGCTTTTTTATTGGGACGTTCCAAGTGCCTGTGATCATATCAGGAGTAAGATAATATAGGAATATATCCTATATTATCTTACTCCTGATCATATGAGCCTCGGCATCACACTGTTAGCGCACAATTTCCGGTAATAACTGAGCATTCGTGATATTCGTGCATAACGCAACCGTACATAACTATACCATAGTTAAACCGTAACTAAAAGACCACGGGAGCGGTAAAGTGGTTCACGTTGCTATTCGTGTATTATTTCTCTCTGGCAAATATAGGTGATTCTTTAACTTCGATGGCTATGTAATGAAAAATCATATACGATCGGCAAATGGTTGTCATGCCATCAGGCATATGGATATCATGAATCGGCAGCCAGAAAGAAATATAAATTATATATTTGCTACCAAATTATGGATGTTTGTCTACTCTATATATCGCCTAATAATTCCACTTAGATACTACCCAAAAGCACTTAAATGCCATCCAAATGGAATTATTAGGCGATATAGTGCTTTTTGTAAATATAGTCTGTGTTTATTTACTATCATTTTACTCAAAATGCCCAGAGGCCGTGTCTACTCAGGGCAACATTCTCAAGATTTTATGAGCGCAGGTCGCGATTCATCTATACAAGGGACAGTAGGTAAAGCTATCATTCTCGGTAACAGATTTGTGACAAATTTGTGCGGGTAGTGGTGTATATTGGTTTATTGGCTGCGCTTTCAAAAGAACTATCCACGTAACTACAGTTTCGCGCAGCCGCTTGCGTGCAAGCAGGTAGTTGTGTATTCTGTCAGCCGAATGCATGGCGTAGCATGAAAGACGGCAGTATGTTATTAGTTCACAACAACTTGTGAAAATATGCCTAAAGTCTCTCCATATAAGTGTCCCCAGCACCTAGAAAGATCTGATGAGAAAGCGAGAGAGTAGGAATAAAGATAACGATAAAGATAGAATAAACTAGAGCACTCGGAGAGCACAGACCTCCGCCAAGGCAGCTGAATTGTCTCACTGTAAAAAAATAAATGAATGAATGAATGAATTAAGTGAAAAAATTAATTAATTAATTAAT